ATATATATGTGTGTGTGTGTTGAGAGTGATGTATGTGGGGTATCGTTCTGCAGTCTACACAGTCTGCGTGTCTGGATGGTTCGTTCACGTTAAAGTTAATCTCATTCGTTATAAACGACACGCCACAGCCGAGCGGTGTGTTCGTGCGGTCATATGCGTGTGGATTAACGCCCACACCTTTCTTTTCCTCAGCTACACACTTCTGGCCCAAGACTTGTGGTGCCGTACTTGACATACATTAACAACACTTAAATGTCCGGCAATCACTCTTAGGGGGTAGATAATAGTTCTTTGACCACAGCCGAGCGGTGCGGTCGTGTAATTATAACCGTATGGATTGAGTCCGATACATATTCTCTGCTTCATACCAATACATTTGCTATACACATACGGGCCTAAGTACGGACACATCTAAAACCTAAGCTAAAACCCTAGAACCCTAAAACATGCAACCGATTGGAACTTACGTCAACGTCGCTTAAATGTCCGGAAAACACTCTGAGGGGGTAGATATAGTCCGTTGACCACAGCCGAGCGGTGCGGTCGTGTGAGCCGGTGACGAAATAGTGCCCCACTGACGCAACATCAAGGTCCCAGACGGGGTAGTTATGTCCCTAAATAAATACAGGTGAAATGGGAGATAGGGTCAGGGTGGTTGTGGCTCTAAAAAATAGGTAAAATAAGAGATAGGGGTGTACATGAGCTAAGTGCCCAGGCAAACATACATATGACTATATATATATATATATATATATGTATAAATAGACATATATATATATATATATGTACATATATATATATATACGCGTTCTTTGTTCTTTTCACACATACATCGTCAACGCTTCCTTTAGTAGGCCACTCTGGAAAGTAAACAAGTAAACAGACCCGTGGGAGTGTGTGATTCTGCACGAGTTCGAAGAGTGATATCAGTACATACTCGTCAGGCACGTAGGCACTGGCTGTGCGGAGTCTGTGGAGTGATATGACTCAAATCTCGTCTAACCCCTCAGTAGTCAATTGGGTCACTAAGTACGGGTTACTCACTCGGTACAAAACTTGACTGTGTATTAGACTTACTAAGTCTCCTTGCGTCTACATAGCACAACCTCCGGCGGCGCTGCTATACTATACCTACGATAGTAGACACACGAAACACTTATTCTTAGTCTATAACGCACGATCAGACAATTACGCACTCCTCCACACACACGCCATGCGACAGTGTGTACAGCCTCGCACAGGTGAACAAACGACCGAGCCCTCTCCTACACACCACCATGGGGGACACGTACACGTACAAGTAGACGATTGACCGGCGAGTGCTATACAATATACAATGCAACCAACAAACCTTGTAGCAGACTAGATTGCTGTGGGTTAGGAGACTCCATAACCTGACTGTGGAGTCCTCAGAAGCCGAGAACAGGAACTTATTGCACGGGCTAAAGGCAGTTCGGTACACTGGGCCAGAGTGCCCCAGTAGTGTTTTGTCAAGAGTGGCTGCACGCAGAGGTGAGAAAGAATAGTCAAACGTATATCTATATATATATATATATATATATAATATATAATACAATAATATAATAATATATAATAATATAATAATATAGTAATATAATAATAATAATATAATAATATAATAATATATATATACTAATGTATAACATATTCATTAAATACATGTCTAAGTGGCTGAGGCAAGGTACGTCGAGGGTAGCAAATGTAAAAGAGGTGAACACTAATACCATAGACTTGGGCTGTAGACCATTACTATATAGTTAATATATAGTTACTATATAGATACTATATAGGTACTGATATAATCGCAACTCTCCAACATCTCGAAAGTTGTGCTCTACTCGTAACTGTTCTTACTTCTAACTCGGTAATGGGATACATTGCTGTAGAAGGTCTCTTTGGTGTAAATATGTATAGTCGTATATACACATATCCATCTATACACACACACACACACAAACAAACACACAAACACACACACACACACACACACGCACGCACGCACACGCCCACACACACACACACACATATATATATATATATATGCCAATATACTCAAACACATATTACCGTATCCACACACATTCTTGCATGCGTGCTATCTCACCTGAGCTGTCATGTACAACCACAACCTTGCACGCATACACAAACAGATGTCCCAGTACACACACGTACACACACGTACACCCACCTGAGGTATCATCCATGAGCATATCCATGCTGATATGATCGCAATTCTCCAACTCCTCGAGTGCTTCGCCCTGCTTCATGCTCTTCATGCTCTCTCCCGTCAGTGACCACAGGCGAATGGTTGAGTCAGAGAAGCCTGTGGCACAGAGAGTGGCGTCGTCACTGAAAGCTAGCGACGACATCTCGTTGTATGTGTTCAGGAACGTGTACATGCACACAGACGGGAGGGAGGCAGGGCCCAGGCGCACACACTGCCGCATCTCTTGCAGGACCTGGGGAATGATAGGGTTTGGAGTTTAGGGTACTGGGTTTAGGGTTTGTTTATATATATATATATATATATAGACTTTTATACCTTCAGTCTCAAGTCGACCTCATCCTCGTTCATCACCGGCAGAGGGATACGGTCTCGTGGTGGGTTGTTGCCTGTGCTGGCGCCTTTGCGCTTGTCGTCTTTGCCCTCGACCTGTGAAGACCATGGACAGAGATGTGAGGACAACTACAGTGTCTTGATACTAGCATTTAGAAAATAATATATATTGAAATGCTGTAAATGCCCTGCTCAAATGGCGAGGATCACCCCCAGGACATGTATATATATATATATATATAATATTATCATGAACAATTACTACATACCAACTTTGCCTTTTTCCGTTTTTTCTTCGCGTCTTCGTCTTCGATACTCTCCAGTTTCACATCTCCATGTTCCTCCAGAAGTCCCCACAGTATCTTCCTGTTGTTCATCACCGTCTGCTCACTCACTTTCTGTTACATTCAATCAAGCATACAATTGCCCATACAGTCCATGAGTTTATGTACATACACATTTTGAAGGGAGGAGGTTTGTATCAAGGTATTTAGGGTTTTAAGGTTTAGGGTTTAAAGTCTAGGGTATGTTCGGAAACAGTGTGGTGGCCAACGTACTGTTGTCGTTAGCGCACACCTACCAGGTCAATGGTTACAGGCATATATCCAGTTAAACATCGACATACAAATGCATAGTACACTACACCGGTGATATAAAGCTGCTGGTAAACCAAA